CCATACCGCCTCCCGCACAGCAATCTTCACTAATATACTTAAACAATTTGCAAACTATTTGCGTTGATAAGGCGACTAATGATGGATGCGCTTCCCATTCACCTCTTTGGTAGGTTGATCGTCATTGTTGAGTCATTGAATGAATTTATTTGCTTTCCTTTGCCCCTACTTTACTTCCCTTGGCATGATTGGAATTTGGAAAAAGGACAAAAGTCTTTCTTTAATCGCCATGACTATGAAATGGTGGTCAATGTCAGTTTCGATTAGAGGGCTCCTTTTCAGCCTAGAGCAAAGTCAAACGTCAATTGAAAAGAGCGTTGAAAACAATTAAATAAATTGATCATTGTAGCACTTGGATGATTGTCACGAAATATTCGTTAAAGTTGTTAAACGCACAACTAATCAGAATTTTAAATGCTAATATTAAAAAATAAAATTGTTTTAATTTGATAATAAAACTGTGAGTCTAATTTTTATCATCCTCAATTTTAAAACTAACCATAGCCGACACACATGAAAGTTACATTATATATATATGTATATATATATACATATATATATATATACGTAAATATATTTACTAAACAGCTAGAGCTAAAGACCATCCTAGAGATGCATGTTATGAGCTTCAAAGATATAGAAGCCCTAAACCCATCAAAGATTCTAGCATTTGTGCAGGAGCTGGAGTTGATGTTGGAGCTATAGGCTTAGAAGGGGGCACTATAGGTCTAACAGGTCGCAGTGAAGGTACCCCAATTATAATAATAAAAGTGAGCTAGAGTTACATATTATGAAAGCTGCACTCAACAAAAAAATCTCACTAAAATGTAGAAAAACCCTAAAAACTAAAAGGTTTTTTTTTAGTTTAGTTAAATTTAACCCTCGTTGTTGGAAAGAGATGAACTTACGTTTTAGAAATATTTGCTCTGAATGGCAGGATGACTTACCCTTAGCTCTAAAATTATGGCGTTATTCTAAATCTAAGTCTCGTAAATACAAAAGTTGAAAATTGAATCGCAAAACAAATATGCATAAATCTTGAAAAGTCAGAGTATTCTGCAACCGGCTACGACTGCAAAGTTGTTATTTGCTCGTTTTTAAATTTTCTTACTTTTGGCCAAAGATATTCCTTAAAAATTGCATCGTCTATACAAATGTCCCAAAAGGTATTTTTATTATTTGCTTAGTTATTGATGTAAGTGCAACCAATTGTTGGTTCCAATATTTGCTATACAATTTTACCAAAACAACTGTGTAAGCCTAAGTTCAACTTATATAAGTTAATGTTGGCTTGGTAACTCTACGTTATGTGCTATAAATTAGGCGTATTTGATCAGTAGTACGACTTGGTTAGGTTAATGCGGTCATTTAAAGTTGCTATTCCTGTGTTTGTAGTATTTCAATTTGTAGACGCGCCACGCCAAAAAGTAGGCAAACAACTAAAAAGACCAACAGCGGCCACAATTAAATGACCGCTTGTCACACGCTTAATGCGCGCCTGGCGTGATTTCCTGTGCGTGCCCATGTATATGTGTGTATGTGTGTGTTTGTGTATCACTTTCTCTCTGTCTGGCTTTTGATCAAAATCAAAACGTAAACATCCGAACCGTGGCCGTGCCTAGTTCCTGGTATCATTTATGGGCAAGAAATTGGCCTAATATAAAATCATGTGTGTCTGCTCCTGAATGGCTCAGTTCATCAGATAACAAACAACACACACAGACACATATCTATGTGTCGTCTGCGTTTCTGTGTATCTAATTGCCTTTTCTTTTCTTTATTTACTTTTGCCCAACAACTTAATTGTTTTGGGCTTGCTGCAAAAGGTGACTTGGCCATTTGACGAGTTTTTTCCACCAGATACGAATCGATAAAGCTGCACAATTTACAAAAGCAACGCCAACAGCTAAACGAAGGGCGCACACCATATATATGCTAATTCAAATGATTTATAGGCAGTTTCGCTCAACATAATGATAGGCTTTAAGTCTCAAGCAGCTCCCGCATCCCCTCATCTTCTATTTCACGCCATATGCAACGTGCGCTTATGATATTAGGGAAAATTCCCTTGAAATCCCACAACATATCGGAAACAAATCATTGGGGAACGATTAATTAATAAATAAACTTCCAGCACGTTGACGACAGCTAATCAAAAAAAAAAAGAGGAACATAAACCAGATAAATGTTAATTGTACAAAATCGCACAGAGCTAAAGCAATTAAGAGTTCAGCGCGTCTATTCTCAAGACGTCACCGGAACACTTCTTCTGCTTCTGCCCTGCACTGGCAGAAGACTCGCTATACTAGGAAGACACTATCTATTAAGTCTATCAAAGTTAGAGAATATAGGACCGACTAGTATTGCGAAATTTATAAATCCAACTCGTTGGATTACCCGTCGACCTCATGGCCGGCAACCGTCTAACCTAACCTAACCTAACCTAACCCAAGCTAACATTTGTTATTCATTTTAATTTAAATAGTGTTTTCTTTCCTTTCTTTAAAAAACATTTATGACTTAAGCTTAAAATAATAATTTCTTAATATTTATTAGCTTCCTTCAAATTAATTTTTTATTTTTTTAAGTTTCTTCGATTTTAGCTTAATAAATAATAAATTGACATTCTCAATGAATATCGCAGGTGGATGCTTGCACAATTGCTCAAAGATAGAGTAGCCGAATTTCCCTTTCTTTATATAAAATATAAAAATATTTATAGTCAAAAGGGATGCTGTGAGTGAGTGAGAATTCACGAACAAATTTTGTCGCAGTTATAAGTTGCAATCGTTGTAGTTAGTAATCGCTTTTAGGCGATATTAAAGCGAAAGCGTTATTCATTATGTGTTACACATAGGCAGGGCGTTCAAGGTTGGCATTGGCTTCTACCTTATTGATTTGGAAAAGATTTCGCATACGCAACGAGCAAAAACAGCAGCTGCTGCTGGAGTCAATGATGAGGCCACATTTTATTTTTGGTACTTGTCTCAGTCTAGTTCAGTTAATAGAGCACTTCAAAATGTGGACGACGATGGCCCAAATCAATAGCTGCTTAACATAAAACCAATGCTGACAATATCAGTTCGCATTGAAATTTAAATTTGAATTTAGGGTTTCAACTATTGGATGATCATTTGGCGTGATTGGCCTACATGTGATTTTTTTATTTATTTATTTTTTTGATTAATTTATTGGCTATTGCTCATTGATCAAATACACTGGTTAGCCCGTGCACCGACAAGGTGTTAACAACTTCCCAGACCTGGCCAATTGCTCTGAGCTGATTACTTTTCTTATCCTAGGGTTCACTTAAAATGTGCTCATCAATCAGACTCTGTATAGACAGCAAGTTAATTACAAACACATTAAAAATCAAATGATAAATCATTATGTTCGAGTATGGCAGTAAATAAGTCGATGCTGAAAACTGAACTCGACCTTTGACGAAATTAATTGAAAATCGACGCCAATTTTGGGGAAAACCATGATTTTCTTTTTAATTTCAAAATGTCCAGAATGCCATAAATAATTACAAAAAAAATAAACAAAACAAAAAAAGGCGAGTATTATAAAATTGTGTGCTTTCACGGATATAATTTCAAATTGTAATCGATGAAAATATGCAATTAAAATTAGCGCAAAATAAATTACGGATTTTAGGGCATGTAATTTAAATATACATGTAAATATTATTGTTTAAATAATTGTATGAGCTAATTACGAAGTTTTTGAGTGAAACACTATATAGGTATTCTGAATAGAAGGTTTAGGTAGATTGAAACATTTGACCTGAGTGCGTGGCAGACTTAACTTATTTTTAATGTTATTAAAACGAACGAATTAACAGTTGTTTGGGTTGTATATTTTGTAAGGGATTAAGCAAGAGTCTCAAATATCGAAGCTGTGAAAAAGCTACAAAGGTTATTTGCCAACTATTATTAGCTGATCTTACACTGGCATCATATTTTGCCGAAGTGAATTACGTTCGTCCTTTCTTCTTCCTTATTTCAACATTTTTTACATACATTCATACAGATTTAAAATTATTATGGATGTCGATATATGTGATTGACTATTTTGGGATATTAACAATTCGTATGTCCCTTTTGCAAGTCGGATTCACTCAGATATGGTTACATGGATTACTGAGGTGCTGCTCTCTTTGCTCTATTTAAGACAATAACATATAGCAACAGAAGGCCGTTAAGATGTCAGAAGGCTCACTCTTTTTTTTTATGAGATTATCATTATTCAATGACTGCAGCTAAGTGTGACAGAGCCAAGTCACTCACTCACTGACTTGGCCAGAAGTTGTCAGGAAATTGATACTTATCGGTGCTAATGAGCGTGACTACACGTGGATGCAAGCGTTGCTGGCGATGCAGTCATGGATGGATATTGACTGTATTGAGGAGACCAATAAACGACGACGTCATTGGCAAAAATTGTAAATGTTTAGATAAAACTATTTAAATTTGTCTAAATGCATAAATATACAAACAAAAACACACACAGACATCGGCGGTTAGGGTTGTGGCTGCGGTTAATAATTCATAGTGCATCCAGTCCCAGTACAGCGCGCTGGAGATATATATGAAATGTAACATTTGTAAAATCTATAGCAATTAAATGATTTAATGTGTGGGCGTTGGATAGTGGGATAGCAACGACGTGTGGGTGTGGCAGTTACGGCCGACACTTAAATCATCATGTACATCAAAATTTTATGTTTTAATTATGAGCCAATTTTTACTATTTGCTCTGTCATAAATTTGGTGGGCTGTTTGTTCTCTGCGCAAAGGCAAACAAAACAAAATACTGATCGCCGAGTTTCATAATAAGTTTATACATTGTTGTGTGCTGGCATTTGTTATTATAAATTAAAATTATTTTGCACATATTTGTTTTTTTTTTTGTTGTTTTCAAAAATGTGCAAATTATTTGTTGAGCGTTTCGTCTGATCAATCGATCAATGTTAAGTGGGTAAATTAACTGCTTACCAATCCGCCCACGCCACAATAGACGGAGAGCGAGACGAGCAGTCCGATGTGATTCAAAGCTGACTTCCATTTGAGTGACTGCCAGCAGGCCTTGTTTCGACTCCAAAGACCGCCACCATTTTCCACAGCATCAACACGTCGATCCAAATGCTTCAGCTTCTCCAGCAGCTCAGTGTTGGCCTCATCATGCGTTTCATAGTCGGCTGGCGACCGGGCCTTGGCGGGCATATTTACCAATTTGCACTTTCTTGTCTTTCGTCTGGATTGGAGTGTAGACAACAATTCAATTAGCGGGCGACATGCTCCACCCACTTAAGCTGCCACGGTGCATTGCAACGAATCTCAATGATTATCAAATAAATCACAATTAATTTGTACTTGCTCGCAAGTGTAGTTCAAATAAGCGCCAAAAAAAAAAAAAACAACAACGTCGCGTCTCAAATGCGGCCGAAAGCAGTCCGCGAACAGCTAAATGAACTGAAAATCAAAACAACCGCACTCAACGACGGCCAACGTGGCGTATGAGCAATGGTAACAGCAATAACAGCAACAGCGACGTCTTTACCCATTTAACAGAATTCTTGGCAAGAACAGTGCCATTTTGAGTACAACAGCTTTTTCAAATTTACAGTGAACGTTATAAGCTGATGCTCTCAGTCCCAAATCAATGACAAATCTTTAACACTCCCAAATCCAGTTAAAAGTTCTCTATTTAACATCAAAATTGTATTTTATTACAAATATATTATTTTCATGTTTCTTTTTATTCCTTCAATGTTTTTTACTCCCATCTATTTTGGGTACTTTAATTATGTTCTTCTGAAATTTCACATGCGCATCATGGATATTCTACAAGTTATTTAGACACTTATTTAATCTTACTGATTTTTAAATTATAATTAAAGTGGTATTTAAAATACCAATTGAGAATAACTTAAAATTGCTAACCATTTAATTTTAGGGAAGTAAATTATTCATTTTTCGAAAATCATTCGAACATTTTTATTTGAGAAATTTCCCTCGACACTTCAAATGACCATACCTTTATCACACCTCAACCAATTCCACCATCATCAATAATAAAGTTTTGGATTATTTATATTTCTTCAATTGAAGTGCGTAATGGTAGTTAGACATTTAAAATGTTATTTTTAGATTTCCCACTTCTGAAACCCTTTTACATATATTACATACATACATATTTTTATTATTTCTACCATTTTTACATATTTCTGTTATTGATTTGTTATTTATGTTGGTCTGCAATTGGTTGTATGTGTGCCTGATGATACTCATTTGTACATCTGATCCGCATATTATTACATTGAGAACATGTTATGTAAGAACTCGCTTACCTAGAGGAGTTGTCGATGGAGGTATTCATTCAAGTCATATTTATGTTATGAATTGTTTACAATTTAATTTATGTTTTTGTTTTCTCTCTCGCAAGTTTTTTCACAATCATCCAAATTCCATTCAGGCAGTATATTTATTTCTAAAATACATCAGTTATATTTACAGCTAAGTTCAAAAAAAAATTCAGTTAATGTTCATTTTGTGTTCGTTTATGTTAGGTGTGTGATTATGCTAGCTCAATTTAGAGAGCTTGTCATTTTAACGGGGTTTAGAGTTGTTGATGGAATCCATCAGATGTGAGCTGTGCAATAAACATACAAAATAAGAGATGAAATATATATATGTAATATTCAACTATGTATCAATATCTGCGTATTTATAATCAAAAATTTGGTACTTCAAAGAAATATAAATTACTAATATGCATTTGCAGCATAAATATTTATACTGTTAAAAAATAATAATAATATCTGTGTTGAAAAGCAACAAAAATATCTCGACTCGATCTGCACGTTTATTGTTGTGATAAGTAGGTGTAATATTCTAATTTTAACAGCTCTTAAGAATTACAGTAAGTTTGGTCATCAGGATCCCTGCATTGTTGTTACTGATGGTTCAAGTTGTCGAAGTATCTTTTACAAATTGGTTGGCTAAAATTCCTCAACTGAACCCACCTACTGGTTGTAGCATCACAGTGGTCCGCAAGGTACCGATGCTAGCTAAGACTTCTACCCTAAACCTCGGACATGGTCTGTCCCATAGTCAAGTTCCTGGGAAAGGATGAAGTCATGGTTTCGAGGTAACGTGCTGGATAAAATAGGAAGCTGCAGCTTAACATCTCAGTATTTTCCTGTTCCATGGCCCACGATAGCTCGGGACCACCACCGGAAGAGATCACAACATCTCTCATCCTGAATTGCAAAAAGCACAAAATTAGCTACGTCATAGGCTGCGATGCCAATGCTCACCACTCCCAGTTTGGTAGCAATGACACAACTTGAGAGGTGAGTTACTTATAAGATTAATACTAAATACAAGCCTTATAGTCTGTAATAGGGGCAACGTTTATCATTACAAATCGCAAAAAAGTCATAGGCCTGACCCTTGCTTCACACGCCTTAAGTGATCAAATAATAGAACGGAAAGTGTCCGAGGACCACTCTCTCTCTGACCACATTGAATTTGAGCTTTAGTTGAGCCATCCAAAACCAGTAAGCTTCTTAAATCAGAAGAATGCAAACTGGGACATCTTTAAAAGAAAATGTCCAAAGACTTTCGCACACCTCTGTAGCGTTCCAGATATTTTCACGAGAGCATGTAATAATGCTGTTAAGGCAGCCTGCCTAGTAGGTCAGTAGGTCCAAGCCCAAGAAAAAACCTGTATGGTGGTCACCTCAACTTAGTGTTCTTCGACAAAGTTGTAGGTCTCTTTTCAATGCTGCGGAATCGCAAAATAATAATCTTCAATGGTCGCAATACAAGTTTAGTCTGGGGGAATACAAAAAAACCACCAGACAGTCAAAAAGGAAATCATGAAGAGATTTATGCACGGATATTCTATCAAAAACCACCCCTACACTATGTTATCTAAAGAAAGACGACTATTCATGGTCAGTCTCCAGTGCAGAGTTACTTATTCTCCTTAAGACACACTTCCTAGGATGCTCTGAACTGCCTTCGATGTACACACAAATGACTTGTGAAGAGATTACATCAATAAAACCTATTCTACATAAAGAAAATGTAGGATGGGGAATAAACAGCTTCAAGCCGTTTAAATCTCCACGTAGTAGCTCCAGTCAAATATAACTTTTATACCTAACGCTGGGAAACCATCACGTCGCCAAAGATTTGATCAATTTTTTCCATCAGTCTATCCTCCTTCATGTTAAAGACTCCAGAACGACTCATAAGTCTTTATCTCACAATCTTCATAGACTCAAAGCTTATCTCTGAGTCACAACATGTCTACAGGAAGGGCAGATCTACAGATACAGCCCTCCATTCCGTCGAGTATACCCTAATAGCTTTCCTAGACATTGAAGGTGTCTTCAACAATATCACCCCCCATCGATCATTTGAGCTCTGCTGGACATGGGAATTGACGCCAGATTAGTGGGATTGATTAATCAATTGCCCCCTTCAGAATTGTAAAGTCTACACTTGGATCGTCAACTCTCTCCAGATGACTTTGCGGGTCATCTTCAAAGGAAAGTACCTTCAAACTCTAATAACAAGTAAATTAAAAATACTGTCATCATGGGCGGTAAAATGTGGGCTAGGCGTGAATCCCACTAAAACTGAACTTTTTCTGTTCACAAAAAATTATAAAGTGCCTCCTCTGGTCCCACCCAGACTAAATAACGCAGTACTGAGAGTACAGTTAGCAACAGCGCTAACTTCCTAGAGCTGACACTAAATAGAAAAATAGGGTGGCACCTAAACACTCAGGTACGGGAAAAAAAAGGCGACAGTCGCTTTATACACGTGTAGGAAATCCGTTAGACTTAAATGGGGTATGTCCCCAAAAATGGTCCGACGGCTGTACACATATTTTATTAGACCTATCCTGTTATATGGGGCCTTGCCTAAAAATACAAACCACTCAAGAACAAGTTAACAAAGTTCAACGTATGGCCGAACTCTACATGTCAGGCAAAAGTACTAGCCATAAAAGAAGCTCTAATCTGCATAAAGACTCATAATAGAAGTCCATGCAATGTTAATATATATATTAACAGCCAAGCGGCTATAAAATCTATTTGTGCGATATCGGCAAACTCGACATCGGTAACAAGCCGTCGCAAATCTCTACATGAGATGGCTTAACAGAATGTTATCGGCCTATTATGGGTGCCTGGGCACTATAATATTGAAGGTAATTGCAAGGCTACCTACAGGCTCAAAATAAATGAAGATAAGGTCTAACTACACATGGCGAAATGCTAACTGCGGTCGCTTAACCCACCAAATGTGGCCAAGCATAAACGAAAAACATAGTTGAGAGCTGTATAATCTCAGTCGCATGAACTGTTCTGGCTGGAATACATGCAAACAAACTCCAGTTGCCCTACAAGGACTTCTGCAGAAGCTGTAAAGAAGAGCACGAGGAAGAATCTCCTGAGCACTTCTGCTTCTACCCTGCGCTTGGCAGGAAACGTTTCGCCACCTTAGACAGTTATTTCATACCCAATCTGTCAATGATGGCAAGCTTAGGACCAGCCAAGATAGCAAATTTTATAAATGCAATCGGAAAAATAATCTTATCAGTAATATACAACATAGAGCAAAAAAAAAAAAAAATAAGAAGTTGTTAGTTATAGTACTTAAAGATCATATAAATCAGAAAATAATTTGAATGATGCGAACTAAAATAGAGTAATGAATTTATATTAAATACAAAGGACACACACACACAAACTGAACACCGCTTAAAGCGAGACAGGGAATCAGGATCAAATAACCTTTTTGTGAGACGCGTCCATATTTTTCTTTATCGTAGACTGCTTCAGATTTCAACACTGTAATTATACCGTCCAAGGTACCACCGAGATCGTATGACGGCCGATGCTTAGTTAGGAGACGAACTCTGCCAAATTTAAGAGAACAATACAAAATTACCAGATAATCATAAATAGTGCTCTAGTCAAAAGTAACTGACATATAAAGAGATTTAGGCAGCAGATGTGCTGATTGGTCCCTCAACAAAATAAATATTTAATCAGATAACAACAAATTCGATATCAGTAGATTATGTGTGATTTTTTTTTCATTAAAATATCCAAAGTAGCTATAACAGTCTCCCGAGATAAACGGACTCTGTTGGGTTGGACGAGCAGAGTGGTAAGCGGATGTTATACGTACCCACAAGCAAAGTTCATCACCTAAATTGGGTATTTCACCAATCGGCGAGCCTATTGATATGTTGCTGTTGGTCGTGGTGGTGTTGGTGTCGGTGGTGATGATGGTTTTTGTTGTTGTTGCGGTGGTGGTGCTGGCTTGTTTGCTACTAGCTGGGCAGCTGCTAGCTGAACTGTTAAGTGTGTTGGGTGCAGCGGGCGGTGTCGAACCGTTGCGGAGTGTGGATGGCGTACTGATTTGTCGTAATGGTGAGGCTGGCGACGGTATGCGGTCTACAATATGCAATGCTCTGCGGTTGCCAACCGTTTCGATGGCCGACTTGAAACTGCAATCCGAAACGGGCGATTCTAAGCGGCGCAGCAGCTCCGGTGTCGTTTGGCGCGATGTGGGAGTGTACAGATCACGGACATCTTGGTCAGATTTTTGTATCTCCAATATGTCATCAGTTGATGTCACATCTTCTATGATGGCCAGCGCAAATGGAGATACTTCTCTTAACTCAATATGTCCAGGCACAGTTGCCGGCTTTTCCAGCTCCGGCGTCGGCTCTGGATCCGCAGCATTTAGTACAGGTTCAACAGGCTGCGGTTTTAGTTCGGACTGCAGCTGCTTACCCATGTGTTCTGCTTGCTCCTGATTCTCCTTAGGTGAAGATTGTTTCTCCATGGTTGACGACTTTTTCTCCTTAGCTGGCGATTTTTGATTCTTAATTGGCGATTTTGGCTCTTTATTAGAAGCATTTCGCATCGTAGATGAAGATTTCGGCTTCTTAGTGGTTGGCTCCTCTTTCATTGTATTAGCTTTTGTAGATTCTTCAGTGTCCTCCTCATCGCTCACTGTGGTGGTCGACGAGAACCGTTTCACGGGACTTGAAGTGCGAGCGCAACGCACACCTTCCGATTTGTTATCGGACACATCATTCGGCACTATAGGGAAAAGACTTTCTTTAGTGTGGACAGGCGGAACTTTCGACAACGCTTGAAACTTACCGATATACTCGACACCAGGTTCATTGCTAGCAGGCTCATCCTGACTGTCCTCGATGCACAGACTGGCTAAGCCTGTAACTGGAACGCATGTGGACTGACGTCTTTGCAATTTGGCTGACCTGCCGCCGTTGCAGGAGGATGGAGCACTCCGCTTGTTATGCGATAATTTAGTACGACTGAACTTTAGTGACATATTGTGCCCAAGGTTAATGTCTTCAAGAACATTACCAGTGGCATCGACTCGTTGCAGACGCGTCGGCACTGAATGGCACTTGTCGCCACCAGAAGTGGATGATGATTTACGCGGCTTGCTGCCTAATATCTCGACAGCTTCGCTGAACGAAACAGACTTGTTGTTTATTCGCTTCGGCAACGAGCTGTTGAAGTCCCTTATACGCTTCACCTTCACCACACAATTGAAGAAGCGGGCACCGTAGCGACGCACCATTTCTCTGCGGACAAATGGAGGCCGGATGTTGTTTGGGCTGCGAATTAGATTTGGCGGTGGTGTGTGGACTCGGTCCGATTGCTTGGAACTGATGGACAGCCTGGGTATCTCAATGTTAAAAGCAATGTGCACCTTGTTGCTCCTGTTCCTATTCCTGCTGTTCGGTTTCGGTGAATTAATCGCCGTTGAAGCTTCTGCAGACTTGCGGGGCCGGCCACGTTTATTTGATTTTTTTTTTGATATGGTTGCTGTTAGATGGTCAATCTTTGATTGGGTCAGGCGATTGATGCGCACAATGCACGGTTTAATGTGAAAAGGACCGATCTGTTGTTGATGCTTTGAAGGCAACGGCAATTCTGCAAACATTTTTTGTTGAGCCTTCGTCTTGAAAGGCATTGGCTGTGGCTGCTCATCCTCACCCGCTTTATCGGCATTAACGGTACCATTCCCATCATTGACATCGTCGTCGGCGTCGTCACCATCATCATCATCATTGCCATCAATCAAATTAGTCTCAATTGTCTTGGAATTGGACTTTTTACCCAGGCTCGATGTCATCTTTCCGACTGCTGTCGAATTTTTTACTAAATATTTTTGCCGCTTCTGCGTTTCTAATTTTTTGACTCACCCTGGCGCACCGACGGTTGTGTACTTCCAATCTCAATATCATCGTCCGACACTTCTGCAATTGTATTTATGATTCAATTATTTGAACTGTATGGTCGTGTCTTTTAACAAACATACCTGTTCCCTCAGATGAGGCCAGCAATAAGCATTTCGTCGTCGGATCTGTTTTAGCGCTATCAGCGATCTGCTTTATGGGTGTTTTCCTCTGACTGCTGCCTGTATATTCCCGTACAGCTTTCGGTGGCGGTGCATTTCGTACCATATCAAACAGATCCATTTTGTGTGCTGAGTCTGTGTGGGTGTTGAATGTGTGTGTTGTTCTCCGTGTGCAACAAGGGAATACGCCAAACCCACAATAACAAATGCTAAGCAATTGATCAATAAGTCTTGACTAAACTTTCTGCCGTCGAGCGCATTTGCGACTTACCTCAGCTTCAAAAACTAAATTTGACAAAAACTGATAAACAAAATAAAAAATAAATTAATCACGAATTTTTTCTTTACTAGATGTAAAACACAATTACCCAATTACATCCATACAAACATAGATATAAACCTGGCGATTTCTATCGGAATGAACGCTTTTCAATTCATTCACCTCAGTCACAATTGTCTTAAAACAAAAATTGATTGTGAACAACAGAAGCTAGCATAGATTTGCACTCTACTGGATGCACAGCGACGCCGTTTAGTAGTGATGTGAAATGAACAATCGATGCAAGAATTTAAGTAGCGCGATTTTTTCGGAATTAATTCGATAATAACTTTTGACCCGGCAATAATTAGTAATGAAATTACTTACTACATTTAACCTAAAATAAAAAATTTTAGCGCAAATTCAGACTCTATCATCTGACAGTGACGCCGCTCAGCAGTGAAATGAACCATCGATACATGAATTTAAGCAGCGTGATTTTTTTCGGAATTAATTCGATAATAACTTATGACACAGAAATAATTAGCAATTAAATGACTTACTACAGTCAATCTAAAAGAAAAAAAATTTAGCGCGAATCCAGACTCGACCATCTGACAGTGACGCCGTACAGCAGTGGAAAAAATCCATCGATAAATCGATATATGCACGGCTTATATCGGTATTACCCCGTTAATAATTCTCACCGGAACAACAGTTGTTAATCAAACGAAATAAGCCATATCCTTCAAACTGTTCAATCCCGAGTCTCTAACCAGCAATATTTTTTTGACAATTTACTTTTGTTGTAAATGGCGTGGAAAAATGAAGAGTTATCTTTATTATGCGCGGGTGCGTCCCTACTTGTTGAAGAATTGAGAGCAACTTTTTAACTTAGAAAAAAAAAAACGCAGAAAGAAAAAAAAACAATTCATGTGTGACCAGATTTTCGATAGTAATCGATATAGCGATACTTAAGTATTGATCGTTGCTGCGATATTCAAACATATTTCAACAACTTTAATGTCTATTTATATTTATATATTTCTTAGATTTTTTTTATTTTTTTTGTTGCTGTGTTTACGAATTTAGGGAATTGATTTCACCAGCGCTGGCCACTATCAATTACACTGGCACTGGCACGATCAGGAAATTGAATCGTTCGTATAGACTTGACTAGCGAAGAATCGAAACATCGATGCAGTTGCGCATATGACTTAAAAACCAAAAAATAAAAATATACAGTGCCTCTCAGTTCAACTGTAACAGCGCCTAGCAAAAAATTTAATTGCCTGCCATAAACTAATTATTCAATAATTTTCAAAAATTCCAAAGACCGATGGCAGGTACATATATTAACCACCTAAATGACTATATGATCCCCATAAACTGGGGTTTCCCCACCTGCTAGGTTGGGTTATGTAAAAAAGTACCTTAATTTATGGTCACATATTATTTGGAACAAGGGCGTTATGGACACCTGGGTGCCATAAAACCCGGTTTTTTTTACGTTTATGCAGTTGCGCATATGACTTAAAACCCAAAAAAAAAATATATATATATATATATTTATTTAAATATAAAAATTTAAATTAGTTATAAATTGGCATTTTTATTTACTTTCATTGTATAATTGGTTAATTGCAATAAATATTTTGTACAATTTGTTGGCGAATTTTTGCAAGCAGCAAGGCATTGTGCAAATAGCAATTGTTTGGATTTGATTTCGTTTACGTTTCATTTCTGAGGATAACACCGTCAGGACTAGCACAAAAAGTTTTGCCGGCTCAGCATATAAACATGTATATAATAAGTAGCAGTACATACAATAGCCATCTAAGCACATATAGAGAAAAAGAATACTTTGCGTCGACAGAGGCGAGTGGTAAATTACTTCATTAAATTGGGCAGCGAGATATTAAAAAAAAAACGGCTCTAAGTAAAAAAATAATAATAAAACAATTAAATACATTATAAAAGTACAAATATTTGCTGCATGCGAGCGCGTGAGCGCGTGTTTTTGTGTATGTGTGTGTGTGTGTGTATTTGTATATATTGCAGTCCAAAATTGTCATGTCCGGCGGCTACACTGTCATGGCACCCGCGCGGCTTTCTTAAATATACACCTTGAATGCACTCCAGCCGTGGAAGCACTTTGTGAATCGTCTCGACTCCTTGTTCTTCATAGTGAGGAAGAGCTTGCGTGGCCGCTCCGGCTGCTTGATGCGCATATGCTGTATGTAGACCTGAGCTGATTTGTATGCCAGCTTCACCTCCACCTCGCTGCAACGCGGCCCCATCCAAAGGAAGACATGCTCGCCATTGTCGAGTATCATAATATCGTCATCGGCCAGATCATCCTGACAGAAGTCCGCACACTTTTCGGCCACCGTATAATAGCCCCGCTCGTTGGAGCAGCGAAACAGTCGCGTATAGTTCATATATCCAGCATCCGTGTCGTATGGCTTGCGACCTCCGAGCGCTACCCAAAAGAAGTTCTCCGGCTCGTCGCCCTCGTTGAGTATCTGTTCGTGAATATAATTTATACATACATATATATTTATATAATGACATTAATTGTGATGGAGTTACTCACCTGCAGGCTAACCCAGGGACTGTTGAACATCTGTTCGGCAACCTCCTGGATCAGTTTTGCCTCCTCGTTGCATGCCTTACTGCCCAGCCAGACGTACACAATGCCCGAATGTGACTCGTCCTCCGTTTCGAATGGCACATGAAGTATATAGCTAATGGCGAGACGTATCATTAAAACACAAATCGAACCGGTTTATCAACTCCATTGTACTACGTAATACTAGTTGCTGAGATTTTACTTTTTTTTAAGCAGAAAATGATAATTGGCTTGAGGCGTATAGTTAACTGTCAACTATCATATTCTAAAGTTGTACAGAACAGAGATAATGAATTGAATTGCGTTCAGTGCAAGAAGAGCACTTTAAGTAGATAAATAGTTTTTTCCATTGGACTGACTCAGTTTTCAATTTTCATTAGTTGAAACGCTGATAAAATTAAATTACATAATTAAATTATTAGCAGGAATACGAGACGCCACATATATACTATATGTGTTTTTGGTTGGATAAAATGAGTGGAGCACAAATTACAAACATAAACCGAAAGGTAAAAGCAAAAGTGAACAACTCACCAGAATGCCGAGTTCAGATGCACTGCATCCGGCTGAATTTGTATGAGTCGTGTGGTTAAGGCGCCACCATTAGAACGTAAATGGAAGAACTCAACGGCTGGCTTGCCATCGGGCGTTAGGGATTTGTCCTTGCGCTTACCCGTGTGAATGATAAACTTGCGCTTGAAGTGCGACATAAATTTGAGGTTCTCCTGCTGTTGGAAGATACGCATCACCTCCAGCTCCTCACCGAACATGGCCTTGAACTTCTTTTGCAACGTAAATGTGAAAGTTAGCCAGCCCATGTTACCGGCATTGCGTCCCTGCCAGAAATACACAACACACTCGATCTCATCCTCGGGCGGCGCAGTCTGTGATTTGCTGTCCGCTTCCGCGTCGGGATTGGGATTGGAATCGGTGCCGTTTTGGCACCCATCGACATCGACCTCAACAGGTATGCAGTAGCGACAGAGGAACACATAGCATTCACCGGTATAGAAATGTCCCAGCTCCTCCTCTGGCAGGCGGACAAACTTTTTGTTCTCGAGCACAAATGCCTCCATCATCTCGAGATCGTAGTTCCATTCCTCCTCCAGCTGTTCAGCCTCGGCCTGTGGCATGGCGCTCTGGCGTGGCATGAACAGCGCAGCCAGATCTGTGCGTGTTTCCTGCTGGCGGGCCCACTGCGTCAAATTTGCGCCCGTCTTGGCAACCGATTTGGCTGTGCGGGTAAAATCAACAGCCATCACCTCATCCCAGCCGGGGAATTTGGTGCGAAAGATTTGCATTTCATTGCCCTCGCTGACGCGCATGACGAGCGCACATTCCGGCCGATCCAGCATATTGAAGAGCTCCCGGCTTAACTTGACGGCGGCGGCACGGACCAATCGTGTCGACTTCTTGCCAAACCAAACAAACAGATCCGTCTGGCAGTCAAGGATGTAGACGTGCTTGCTATTGAGCAGCGTATGGCTTAGCTTCTGTTCCGGCAGCTCCACCTGCGGCAGCTCCAAATAGCCCATGCCCAATTGCACCTGATAAAGACGCGGACGCACTGGCGCATAGTTCTCATCGATGTGCTCCTCTGGTGCTGGCAAATCGGCCACCTCCTCGGGCAGTATATCGAATGCGTCCCAGAATTCCTGACACTCCTCGCCCTGCAGATCAACGAGAATGTCGCATTTGTTTTTGCGCTCCGTCTTATTGATCTTCTCGGCCATTAGGCGCGCCTTGGAGTTGAGCGTGTTCTTCGAACGTTTGCCCAGCCAAATGTGGATGCGTGTGCCCACATCAAGGACAAAGGCGTGGCGCGGATCCAGCGATTGCAGCACCATAGCAACGGGCTCCAAATGTATGCTGGCTCCATACGCATGGACTAGATATAGCCGTGTTATGTGTATCATCTCTTCGATCGTAAAGAAACCCGTCGCAGTGCGTCCGCCCTCAATGTAAATGATCTCCGTGTCGAAGAGGGCGAGAAACTCATCGGATTCATCGCCCTGCTCCTCCCGTATGGTGCGACAACGGGCGCCTAAATAATTACGCAAGTTCACAGCATGGATGGCGGCACAGGCGCGCTTATCGAGAGTCGCTTCATTACCAATCCAGAAGTAGATCTCCCAGTTGAGTGTGTGCAGCTCATCGAATTGCGTTTTCAGGACAATGTAGCAGTCAGCCTCATAGAATTTACCATGCACCACATCCTCGATTTTGTTGGGTAGAAAGTTCTCAATCTCCCAGATGGTTAGACCCGGCTGTTGGCCATCGTCCTTTTCAAAGAATTTCGAATAGTCAAGTTGTGGCTTCTCCAACGATTCGTCCCAGCGCTTTGGTTTCAATGATTCCGTTGTCACTGCATCGCCATCACCCTTATTCTTATCCTTGGCGACATCCTTCATGCCCTTGAGCACCTTGGCCGCATCCTGCCCACCATCCTGACCATTTTCCGCACGCGGCCCACGACGCAATCGAATCTTTCGCGCTGTTGCATCCTTTGGCGTCGATGTGGCCGGCATTGAGGGCGGCACAACAGCACCAGCCAGACGCAGTTGCGTCTGCAGCGAGAAATCAATGTTATAGAACTCCAGACTGGTCGCCTTGCTCGCCTCACTCGGCTTCGGCGGCATCACCAGCTCCGGATTGTCACGCAAATCCAACTGATCCAGCCCCTCCAGCAAATGTATGGCATCCGGCAGTGTGATCAATCGATTGCTACTCAAATTCAACTGCTTGAGTGCTCCGCAACGGCAGAGTCCTTCGGGCACCATCTCTAGCAGATTGTTGGCCGCCGAGAAGCATTCAAGGGTGCCCAGCTTGCCAATGCCCGAAGGTATGCCCTCAAAGTTCAGTTTGTTATCATTAACAAAGAGGCGACGCAGCCGGGACAGCTTGCAGAGGGCGGCAGGCAGGGCGGCCAGCTGATTGCGGGACAAGTTGAGCGATTCGAGACGCTGCCAATGCTCGAGGTTGGCGCTCAGCTCGTTTATCTCATTGTCGCTGAGATTGAGGCGGACGAGGGTGACCACATTGTACACACAATCTGGCAACTTGGGCAGTGCATTGTGCGATAGATCCAGCTCGACAAGATTGGCCAAACTATCGATGCTGGTGGGGAAATTGAGCAGCGTGCGCTGCGTACTGCTCATGTTGAGTACCTCTAGACTCTGCAGCGATGGCAGCTGGCGCAGCTGGAATAACTCCAGCGGATTGTGCGACAAGTCCAGCGTCTTCAGATTTATCAATCGTCGCGTCTGCGGCGGCAGCGTTTCCAATCGATTGTACGACAGATCGAGAAACAGCAGATCAGTCAGATGGATGAAGAGAGGGGTGGGTATGTTTTCGATTTGATTGGAGCTCAGATTGAGCACAATCAAATTCTTGGCACGCTCCAGACCCTCGGGCACCACCTTCAATCGATTGTGCGATAAATCCAACGTGGTCAGCTCCTCCAAATGGAAGAGCTCGGGCGGTATTCCGCTGCTCTTTAAATGATTATGACGCAGATCCAATGAACGCAGGCACGTCAGTTCCGTTAGCTCGCCAAAGAGCTTCTCCAGCTGATTGTGATTCAAGGATAGGTGCTCCAATTTCTGCAGGTGGCCCAGCTCCTCGGGTATTTGATGGAGCTGTGTGTGGTCCAGTGTTAGCCACTGGACCCGAGACATTTGCCGCATCGAACTAGGGAATGTTTTCTGCAAAACAAACAAGCAAACCAACAAACAATTGCGGTGGTTAGATTTTTTTCTCCCTTTTTTGTTGTCGACAAATGTAAACAAAAGACAATAGCTGCGCTGCCTATGTCGCAGTCGCAGTGTGCCGTCAACGTCAGCAGCTGCAGCAGCTGAGCGTTTTGCACTGATGACAAATTCGCCATGAATGGTTAGATTTTTTGTGTACTTCCTGTTTAGAGCAGTAAGTGAAGCGCTAATGAGTCTGGGGTTGACCCGGTTGTGCAGCAGCTGCAGCGAGCAGCTAGCACTTAATTTAGCATTTGCATTTACATTCCGCATTTAGCCACATAACAACAACAACAACAATAGCAGCAGCTACAACCATACTTACGCTGAAATCATTTTTCGTAAAATCAACGCCGCGTACGAACGGTAAAACACTCATCCTGGTTATGCTGCGCACTCTGCGGTTGCTGCTGCTTCTTCGTCGGGAGTTGGGAATATCATAAAATTAACAACTTTGCGTCACGGACACGAAGAAAACGGCTGTGGGCCCCGTCCTTGTTATTGCTATGTCAATGAATAAGTGCCTGTGCCTATTCTAGTGATGGCAAAACTATCGATATTTATATCGACACCGTCGATCATTTCAACTCGTCATTTTTTCTAATACAGCAATAATTTGCGGTAGATTATTTTGGAATATATATCGATATTATGTTATTTAATTTGCATGTGCCATTGTGCAGTTTTTTGTTTTTCGTATTAAGTACTTGATTGATGTCTATCATATGTAGATATGTTGCCGTTGTGATAAAACGTATCTGAGTCAGAGAAATGCAGGATGATATCTCACTCGTGAAACACGTACTTATGCACGCCGTAACGGACCGATGTCAACAGGTCAGAAACAAATCAGCTAATCAGCGAAGAGTCAAATCTTCCTTTCGTACGTTGACAACATTGCAATTATCGAACAGGCAGTGATCAGTAATCATTAGCTGTATCAGACATCAAACCTTAAGTAAATGTACTTAGAAACAAGAATATAGTAAAAAGACTGTGTTCGAACCCTCAACTTTCAATAAATCCAATTAGATTGTGAGGCCAGTGTGTACATTTGTGTGGATTGTGATACCGATACTTTTGACTTAAGTAGGTACACACTGGTCGTGTGTGTTATTCTGAGGGGGTGGCAAAATGAGCAGTGTGTAGCGCAAGTGCGCGGAAAGGACTTCAGTCTCCTGTTATCCTGTAACTGCAAAGCGTGCCCTCTATGGCATATCAACATCGGTTGCATATTCTAGAGGGTGTGACCAAGTGAAGGTCCAAAAATTTTCATACTTTTCTCAGTCTTTGGAATGTGAAGTTCCTGCAGGACGTTTGTCTCGACAACGTTGCAAGTAGAAAAAAAATAGAAAATTAAATGCAAATAAAAATAAAATACATACACATTTGTAAAACAATTTAACTGGATTAAACACTAATCGAAATGCGAAAAGCTTGTGAAATAAAGTGCTACGCGGACTTTTAAAATCCCGTTTTGTCGCTTTGTGACAGGCAAAAATTAAAAAGTAAGCAGGATGCGAAAGTGAATGCGGCGAACGCCGAGCTTCAAGTCTTCAGCTTTGTTTGTTGTGAAAAATTGTGTACCCATTTGGTGAAAAAGGGAGTGTTTTCTTCTTTTTTTTTGTAAAGGGCTGCTCGGCGCTGGTAATCAAAAAGGCGACACGCCAAATAAATGCAAACTATTTGAATTAACTCAGTTAAATTATGTATGCACAAATATGTACTGTGTATGTGTGTGTATGTTGTGCACACACAAATACATCTAAATACTATGCAGGCTCTTCTATCGAGCAAGGCAGCAATATTATTCAAATCCCAAGCAGCAAAACTTAAATCTCAAATTCGTGGGCGGGTGCGTGTGTGTGTAAATTCCTGCTCGTGCCCTAAAAAAAAACTACTCTAAGCATGATGTACATATTTATTTATTTAAATATGTATATACATACATATATAAGTATATATATAGAGACACACACATGCGTAGTGGGCTTCTGGACTGCTGATGGATGCTTCAAGCAGAAACTGTCAAATGTTGCATTTGTCCCTTTTTGGGCTAAGGGCGTAAAAAGCCGCAACTACAACTTACTAAGCGCAAGATGCTACGCTGAGTTGAGTTAGCTGGTTGCATTTTGCTTCAGATGGTATTGACTGGGACGTTAGGCGGTGGCAGGGGCAGGGGTAAGCGCTGCAATTCCCTGTTTGTGGCACGAGCACAATGCGGGACCGAGCATAAGGAATAAGGAAACAGAGCAAACCTTTAATCAATAGATATATAAACACATACACACACACACACACACGTACAGAGAACCCAGGACCAGGAACAGGAAAAAGCAACTATAACGGGAGCAGCAGCAGAGGCAGCAGCAACAACAATGAAGCGCGCAAGTGGCTGAGAGAGCTTAGCGAGAGAGAATTAGTCGGAAATAGAGAGTGAGAGCAACAGTGATTGCACTGCAAGAGATAGAGAGAGAGAGAGAGGGAGCCTGGCCGTTACCTTTTGTACCGTTGCTCGTTCTCTTACTCGTACATGTACTCGTGCTCGTGTACTCGTATTTTGGCCCGTTTGCCATTTTTGTTGTCAGCCAGAGCAAGCACAAGGAAGAGGAAGCCAAGTGAACAAAATTGCTATTGCGCCGCAGCATCAATAACAGAGAGCACATCACCACGAACGGAGCGTGCGGGCCGAAGCTGCGATTTAAGGGTGCGTGTTTGTGCGCGCCTGTCTGCGTGTGTGTGTGGGTGTGCGTGCGTGCTTATGTGTGCTCGTAGGGAACTGTGTGAAAAAAATGGGAACAGGAACCAAGTACGAAAGCGTTGCACAAACAATTTTTAATTCAACTACTGTAACATGGCTCTTTTTGGGCTGCAATGCAACGCCCCACATGCTTATTTAAATTAAAAACAAATTCGTGCGTTGTGTATATATATATACAACGATCTGAATACCCAATCAATCACACTCTAATGTGTTGTTTAAAAAGTGAAATTGTGTACTAGCTTTGCTTGTGAAAAGGACAAAGTGCTCAAAGTCGACTCAAGTGAATCTTGTTTTAGGAACTTTCCCTCATTGTGAATAGTAATAATGTGATGAACGGGATAATGATATTTTTTTTTGTTACCACACTTGCAAAGTGCTTGAGGAATATTTGTGTTAAGAGCTTTTCGCTTTATCACAGCTAATAATATATATATATGCACATAATGTACGTGTGTGTATATATTGCATACACACACTACGCATTCAAGTTGCGTTCCATATTCATGCACACCCACACACACACACACACTCCACTGTGTATGTATGTTGGAGCGTGCCAAACCACACCTACAATTTTTGAATAAGCTTCAGCCTTGATTGCGTCGTGCACTAATTGTGTTTCCTTGCTGTCACAGTGTGCGACAATTTGATGTCAAGAGCTTAGAACTCTGTCCCCAGACCACGACGCACTACGACGACGACGACGGCGACGACCATCAGGAGCAGCGCACTCCACTCCGTTTCCATTTCCACCTAAAACCTCCGCAGCGCTACAATCGCTTTACAAACGCGGACCAGGACCTGTCAGTTAGTACGCATTAGACGCGCTCAATCCCATTACCAGGATGGGCGACTATCACGAGTTCACGGATCAATACAAAGTGCCGGTGATAGCCAAGCTACTGCACGCATTGCCTCACTACAACATCACGTTTCACAAAATCAACAGCACTTTCCGGCCCAATGATGAGATATATCTGGAGGTAAGCTCATCTAATCCTCACATGTCTCGTTCACATATTAACGAAAACTACCATAATTTTTAAGGGAAAACACTGTTCGATCTTCCGATGGAAGTTCCAAATTAGAATCGTAATTTTAAATTTCGCATTTCGAATTCTTAGGTGGGAGATTTTAGTCTTTTAAATTTGTTTAATTTTAGATGAAGAAATCATCATTCATTTTTAACTATGTAAATAAATATTAAATACACATAGGAAAAAGTTGTTGTTTCTTATTTGCATTAATGACCAGTTTATTGTAACTAATGATAACCGATTGACAGTATATGATCTTATATATTATATTATCTTATCGATACATTGTAAGTCAGTACATTTTGCGTTTAAGTACTCCCATATATTTGATTTAATATGCTACTGGCATCAATTTTAATATGCTTTATCCTCTCCTATTTATACACCCACAACTTTTTTTCGTTCACCATAGAGCCTGGGCATCCTGGGATCGGTACCGGCAGCTCTATTGATTGTCTCGCTGCTTGGACTGCTCTTCTATTTGATGACACGCTGCTGTGACCGCAAGCCACGTCCAGCGCACTCGATAACTAGCCTAAAGGTGGCCCTGTCCATCGTTACGGTGATGTGTTGTGCGGCGATTGGACTGGGTCTGTATGGGAATGATGATCTGCACAATGGGCTGCTGGAGGTGCTGACCGCTGGACGTAAAGTGGACAATTTGGTGACGACAATACGGAATCAGACGCACATACTCGAGAATACGCTGACCAACCGCATACGGCCACAGCTGGTGGAACTGGCGGATATCTTCGATCAGCCGGTCTCCAATCAGACAGCGCTGTCCAAGCTCTTCGTCTCACTGAACATTGTCCAAGGGAACGTGACGCTAGCCACGAATGCGGCTAGCGATATTCGACGACCGCTGATGAGCATCTCGATGACGCACTTCCTCACTGTGAGTATTTTTAGCTAACACTATTCGCTGGCACCCTAATCTTTATTGCACAAATGCCCAGCGCGGTGATCAATGGGAGCTGATACGATGGCCCGGCACTGTGGCAACTCTGGCACTGTTACTTGTCCTCTGTGCCGTGTTGCTGGTGGGCGTGGCACGGCATTCGCGCTGCGCCCTAATCCTGTTTAGCGTATGCGGCCTGCTGGCCGTCACTGGCTCCTGGCTAATGTCCGGCCTGTATTTGTCTTCATCGGTGGCGGTGGGTGATCTCTGCATTAGTCCAGCCGATTTTCTTGTGTCGACCGCACCCCGTGATCTGCCCACCAATGTTCTGCTGCACTACACCCAATGCGAGCCGGGACACACGAATCCATTTACGCAACGATTGCGCGAATCACAGAACTCGCTGAATAATGCACGCAGCGCAATGGCTACTGTCATGAAGATCTCCCTGGTGCTGTTCAAAAGCTCTGGTCTGCAACCGAAACTGGGCGCCGTAAATGCCGATCTCAACAGCAGCGAGCGATTGCTCACCCAGCTGACTGCTCTTGTCGACTGCAAGGCGGTCCATCATAATTTTCTTGCCGCTGCACGTGGCCTATGCGAGGGCGGACTGCTCGGATTGGTGCTGATGCTGATTGCCAGCTTCATAGCGGCCATTTTGCTGACGATCATGGTGTGGGTGGACTCGCACACATGGATCTATATACGCAAGCGCAACGACTATGCGCAGGTTGACGAGCCATCGTATATTTCGCATCCGGCGCCACAGAATCATCAACAGATGATGAATGCGGCACGCACTTTGCCGCGCAATCATAACGGGTAGGTGTTTTGTGATCCGGAGACTGATCTAATTGCAGCTTGGGCAAATTTCGCTCTCATTGCAGGCACTTCAGTCCACCGGTGATCAGCGGCTCACACACGTTGCAACATCCCAATAAGCGACAGCAGCATGAGATGATGGCCCACGCACACATCCAGCAGAACATGCGGGCTATGGGAACCCATACGCTAGGCAGACTGCCGTCGCACAATCACAGCCCCACCCACATGACTGGTAAGTGCCGTCAAGTTATCCAACCTCATCCAACCATCCACCAAATTCGTTAGTAGCACTATTAGCGTCACCAGCATCCTCCACACTTAATGTCTGTTTCTCTTCTATTCTGTCTCTGCGCGTTATCGATTGAGTGAAAACTTGAAGAGATATATATATATATATATATATATATATATATACATATCAAGTTCACACACTAAATATATATGTATATATAAGTAAATACTTTATGTACAAAGTTTTGACGCTTCATTTTATACATGCATATATTTCTTATTTTATTATTCAGAACTAGAAAATATGCTTTTGAAAAGTTTTCGTTTAAGCGAATCGATCAATAATTTTTACTTCTATATGTGTTAATCAAAATAACAATCATACAAAAACATTCAAAACTTACTATTTGAAAAGCTCAAAAATCTAGTTGACTCCAGAGCCAACATGTTAATCCGTAGTTGCAGCTATGTGATCAGAAAAACCATGTTCCATGTATAGCTTAAAGTTGATTAAAAACTATTTTTATTTTATTATTTTTTTTTTTAAAGAAATTTGTTTTTGTTTTTTTTTTATGGTTTTCATGCTCATTGGCCTCACTGTCATTCTATGCGTTCGACGCCATGTCAACTGCCACGATTCCGTCACATCCGTACCCGAATCCTGATCCGCCTTGCTAATTGTGTGTGTACATTTTATAGGTCCCAATAACGGTAAATATGCAACCCTAAGCAAACAATGCAAAACTTTGGAAGCCAATGACTTTTACTGAAAATCGTCGCCAGCCGCTGCCGTCGCCGCCGCCGCCGCCGCTTCCTCCGTTCCGCCCACTGCACAGGCCCAGGTGGCCCAGGCGCAGGCCCATGCTCATGCCCAGGCTCAGGCCCAGGCTCAGGCCCAGGCCCAGGCTCACTCTCAGCAACACCAGCAGCAGCAACAACAACAACAATTGGGTCCACAGCCAATATACTGCCATCATCCGCATCAGCATCCGCACGCGCATCCGCATACCCATCCTCATTCGCATTCCGCAGCAGTTGCCGCCGCCGTTCAGCACCAGCATGCCATCTACCATCAGCAGCAGGCGCAGGCCCAGGCCCAGGCTCAGGCCCAACAATATGGCACGTATACGACAGCTGCGGCGGCGCATCATGCGCAACAGCATCATATGCCGCCACCGGGTCAGAGTCAGATCTATCAGCAGATACCGGCACATTTGGCTGGCCAGTTGGCGCCTAATGGGAATCCACATTCAATTTATCAGCCGCTGGTAGCGGTTAGCCAGGGCTCTATTTATGTGTCCAATTTGGCGACAATGCGACGCCAGAATAGCCAGGGTGGTCCGCAAATACCCGCACATCATCATGCGGCATCGGTGCAATCGCAACCCCCCCCCAATCCCCATGCTCACCAACATCAGCAGCAGGCTTCACAGCAGCAGCAACAGCCGCCGCCGCCATCGCAACAGCAGCAACAACAGTTGTTGCAACATCAGCTTAAATCGCCACAGCAACAGCAGCAGCTGCAGCAGCAGTTGCAACAGCACCAGCAGCAGCCGGAGACGGAAGTGGTGCCTATTAGCACCACAATGGATACGGGCATTTATGACCGGGATAAGCAAATTTACAAATGCTCCACGCTGCGTCAAGGCGGAAAATTCGATCCCAAGTACAAGCCATCGATTTTGAATTGCCCACTGCCGGAGATACCCAAGGATGCGGAGCAGCCTAAAGTGGAGTCCATCTATCAGCAGCAGCAGCATCATCACCAGGCGCAAAACTACTCCAAGTAAGTACGCCATTAAATTTGTGCGCCGCCACAAACCTTCCGATTGCTTTGCTCTTTCTACAGAACACTGCAGCGACCACCAATGAAGTTGCCGCCACAAATGAAGGCCATACCGCCACCAAGGATTGGCACGCCCACATCACCACCACCGCCGTCAGCTCAGTCCGATTCGACACTGCTTAATGGGAGTGGCGGAGGAGGTGTTGGTGGTGTTGTCAATGATGATGCCACCCTGCCACCGCCACCACTGGAGGCTGCACAGACGCATCTAACTGGTAGCGTGGACGCCACGCCGCCCAAGTCACGCGTCCAAGCGGCAAACGGTAAGCCCGGCAATGGACTGGCTCTGCACAATGGCGGCTCTGCAACGGCAGCAGCTTCATCTACTGGCCCCGTCGGCATTCTCGATGATGATGACGATCTGCCGCCACCGCCGCCGGCGATAACTGATGAAAGCAACTATGCGGTAACCGAGCTATAAGATGGATATACCTATATAGCGAGAGAGTGTGCCACATCCACATATAGCATTTGAGTGTTCCTTGGTTCTTGATTTACATTACGAATCCTAATTCCTTTTCATGCATCCTACAACTTAAAGCTAGTCAAAAAAAAAAAAAAAAAAAAATAACAACAACGAAAATCGACAAACAAATGAAAAATGTAGAATTACTTTGAAACTGAATGAAAGACAACCCACTACTGGTCTTTTGTATACATATACTACAGACGAACATACACACACATGCTAACTCTTAAACAAACAGACACACCCATGCCCACATACATACATATGTATCTATGATATATACTTAACATATATACTATATACATTTAGTACGAATATTCTTTTTGATAATAGGGAATTTTGATTGTAACGATTTTTAAAAAATAACCAAGAGGAACCAAATGTGTTATACAACAACATCTTGTAATATACAGCGATATATTTAAATGTATGTACACATATGAAATGAGGAAACTGAGAAAATTGAATTTCGGCAACTGGAACCCTCTTCACAACCACCAGAAAACCACAAGAGCAAAAACAAAAGCAACAGCATTTAAATGTACGACAGTATGTATTATAGTTAAGAGGGCAACGTTTTTAGGCATTTTATCGAGTCAATTTTTGTTGTTGTTCTTTTTCTGTTTTTTAAATAAATGCATATAAAGAATGGTCGAAAGGCGAAAAGGTTACGTGTGGCACGAGTGGGGCATCGTCTGTGATGCTCGGACTTGTGGGATAATGGGTTGTGCGCCAGTTAAGATCCGGTTAGTTAAGCAGTTTAGTATAGCCATGCGATTTTATTGTACTTAAACGTAAGCTTAACAACAATGCATTTATTAAACATTTAAAAACTAAAACACTTAGCACATTCCGAGTGCGCATATACATACATAAATACTATACATACAATATACATATGTAGCTATACAAGTAACTGTATATTTAATAGCAGTAGCTAAACCAAAGTCAAAGCGTAGCCTAAAACAAAAAAGAAGAAAAAACAAAAAACAAATGAAAAGCAACCAACTGAGGTATACTCTTTCCCGAGTTAAGCTTTTGGGAGAGCGTGTGTGTGAACAGATAGCAATATGAATGAAATATAAGTACTGCCCCCACATTCGGCTGAGCCGAAGCAAACCGCAACCGAGAAGACATAAGACACAAAAACAAAATAAAACTATAAAGTTATATAAATGTACATGCATTTATACATATACATATATCGTGTGTATGGCCTTAAGCATATGAAACTGAATACGAAGAAATCGATGGGAATTATGCAGTTGTCAAACGCAATCCTTGTAAAGTTATTTAGGCAAGTTGTTAGTGGAATTCTATAAAAGACCAGTGTGACCAGAGGTCCGACAAAGGTCCATCAACTATAATGTCGCCTCAACACTTCCCGACAGGACAGAAAGTTGTTAATACAACAATAATATTAATAAAATAAAAATAAGACAACAATAAAAGAACAGCTAAGGATTTATTACTAGGCTACTACACTATATAGAGCACATCGAGAATGATCAATATATATATATATATATATATATTTATGAACAAAACCGACAGTAAAATGAAAACTGAAATCAGAAACCGAAACAATTTCGAAAACTTATTCGATAAATTTAAATTTTTAAGTATTAATGCATATGTACAGATCTGTAAAGTAACTTCAAACGAAACGACCTAATCAAGTTTTTTATTCACTTATATACAATTACGATACCATAATGTTATAAATTATTGAAAGATAAGGTACGAGAATAGCAGCCGCTTCCCATCCTCCCTTCCCCGTCGACTAAAGCCGAAAGGATGCAGTTTGTTATGTTCGGTTGGCCCGAGGATTGAATACCCTTGCAGTTATATTACATACATATTGCAGTTGCTAGATATAGTCAGCTGATTTTAAGCCATATCTTATCTTAACAGTGTAGAACTGTGTTAAAATTGTAATGATGAACATATTCCATGGAACAGTTCAATTTGTAATCGATTGTTAATATGGTAGTTATTGCATATGATATAATGTTCCTTTTCTTAATCATGTTTTTTTTTTTTTTTTTTTACCGTTTTTGGAAGGTATCTTTAAAAAGAGGATATTTTTTTTTTTAATTTTACAGGCGACAATCGCAATTCGATTCAATACAAATGTTTGTATGTAATTAACCAATTCTGCATACATAGGTGCCAAGTTCTATCAAGTTTTAAGGTTGAGATATTAGCTCGGCTCGTCGTACCGACCAATAAAGCATTTATTAAAATAATCTGCAAGGGTAGGATACGCTAAAATAATAATAAAATGAAAATACAAATAAATAGACTAAAGAAAAATAGCCACAGATTCTAAGAGATCTTTTGGTACAGAAATTATTGATGGCCCGCAGTACTAGGACTTTGGGATAGTTGGACATGAAGTGCAGAATGAACTTAAGACCGATGAATCGATGATCGAAGCTATACATACACATAAATACATACATATACATATAACATATAACACATTAGCTCGTAAATATATCTCTGTGTTAAATGTTGTCATCGTACGCGTTGTAGTTATTAAACGGAAAATACCACAAAAAAAAAAAAAAACTAAAACAATCGAAGTTTTAGGAGCTGAGGTTACTTTAAGAATGGAGCGGTTGGCTTTGGCCGTCGCAGGGCGTAGCAACAGCATGTTGTGCAACGTATACAACACATACATTTAGTATATATGCATAAATAGTTAAAGACAATGTAAAGAAACGGTAGGAGACGAATAAGCTTAAAACTATACAAAAAATTATTAAAAAGTTCGAAATTCTTGTAATTAATACAAAAAGCGACAAAAACAAAAATATAAAGAAAATACATTAGAATTTGGTTAAATTGGAAAAAAGATTGCGACACGATTTCGCCAAGTTGCGTGACAATGGGAAATGGGATTCGGGAACTCAATCGATTGTACGGGATGGTATTTAATTCCCAACAAAGTAGAAACTGCAAGAACACAAAACAAAACAAACGCACAAAACCCGACAAATTTCATTAAAGCAAAAACCGGCAAAATCGCTATGAAAAAAACAAAAAAACGAAAAATATTAATACAAATAAAATAAAATCATAAAATTCAATAACACCATGGGCTCTTTTTCATGTATTCCCGTTTGGGTTGGGATAAACTATGTATCACTGCTCGAACGGAAATGAAGAGTAAGGCATTATTCACCAAGTAAGTCTATACCTTTCTCACTCATCTGAAATTGTAATCCTTTTAATTTATCATTGTGCACAAGTCAGCAGCATACTTTATTTCAACTTGTATAATAAATATATTTATCATTTGTATTATGCGCTTATATTAATATACATATCTGTATTAAATTATATTTGTATGTATATTTTAATTTTAAGCAACCGTTATCGGCAGATGTTTTTATTCACTTAGTGGCTAAATGGTGCAAGTTATTGCTACACTCAATTAAATATTGGGACAAATTAATTGCCCTTCGCTTAATTATTCAATTAAAGGTACTTGCATGCTCACAAATCAAAATAATAAACAAAAGGCATAAGTGGAACCGTTGAAAATGATATTAAAACGTCCTACAGCGAACAACAGCAACAATGCAACATAAAAAAAAGTATATGGAATACGTACAATAAGTTGATTATTCATAAATGAATAAGAATAGATAAATGATAAATAATTCAATAGATAGAAATACATAAAAGCAAATGTGCGATCCTATGGAACTTCCTTCGAATGCTTACGAAAGATCCGTCGATTTCCCTGCTCTCATCTAAGATTTCTTTGGAATTACAGAATTGCATTTGGAGTTTTTGTTTGTTTTTAGTTAAGATGGAAATATGGGAGGCGTGTCATAAGTGGGGGCTACTTAAGCTTGTCGTTGCTCCTCATTTGTTTGTGCCTGACCCAAGTCATTATTTAATTTATTGTTGTTGATTGCACAATTGACAGCCACCAGTTCGGGCACAGATGAGGATCCAGCACTGCTCTGGCTGACAGTGCGCACACGATCCACGTGGTTACTAATTGCTGCTGTTGCTGCTGCCGCTGAAGCTGTTGCCGATATAAGCGTAGCTGGTGGTGTTGCAGCAACCGGCGATGCTGATTCGGGCGTTTCAGTAATTACGGGCTCTACGGTTGGGAATATGGGCGGTGCGGCCGTGGACACCACAGGTGTTTGTATCATTGGCGTCGGTGGCGAACGATTCGCTGGTAGCTGATGAGCTGTTTCGCCCGACATTTGCATGTGATATCTGTGGTGAGGTATGGTTGATAGCTTATTGTAGTAGCCCAGGATTCAATTGGACTCACTTGTAAATGTTCTCGGTGCTCTCGACAACGCCTTGGGTCAAATTGAGGCTGCGACCCTTGATGCCCGACTCTTTGGCGGGCGGTGACCACCAGTTGAAGACGCGCCCCACAACTGGAACATGTCGCAAAATGCCCTCCTGCCAGAGTTTCTCCTCCGATTCGCGCTGCAAATCCGCAGTAGCTGCCTCAATGCCCTGTAGATATATGTAAAAAATAAATAAATAAATAAAAACACAAATGGCTTAAGTTATTCACAATCACAAGTGTAATTGCTGTGTACAAGTTTTACCTTCTTTACAATTTCAGACATGGTGTCGAGGACGCGCGAGTTCTCCTGCACGCTCTTGCCAACGGTAACGACAAGGTCGAGCAACTCTTCTACCTCCGTTTCGTGCGTGACCATACCGAAGCGCACACAGATGAGTCCGTCTGTGCCCTCGCCCAACGAGAAGGCATTATCCGTTGACTTGAGCGCTTCCACCAGATCAATGTTGAGCTTGTTCAGCTCCGTTTTAGCCTGATCCGTTAAGAGCGATTCCCACCCCTCGGGCACAAATCGCACCCCACCCATGCCCGCCCATTCCGGCAGCGGGACGAGTCGAAGAACATCGCTGCGCTCAACCAAATACATAAAGCGTGCCTTGTGCTTGATTGTGGCTCGCAGTATGTCCACATGCGCCTCCAGGCTTTGCGCAAAGCTCTCTAGATTTTCTGAGCTGGGCGGCTGTTCGCCCAGACCCAGCTCCAACGGACAGTAACGAATGCAGCTACCATGCGCCGTATGCTCAATCACCTCAAAGTCAAACTGGAAACCGATCAGAAATCAAAGCTGGCATAGGGGAGATATTGCGATAGCTACTCACATTAGGGCAGTCGCGCTGCAGTATCTGACCCAGCCAGGAGTTCAGGCGATCAAAGTACGAGGCATTGTTAACTTTCTCCAGTGGCCGGAGGCCGGTTACGGCAGTGGGCTCCGCACCAGACGAAATGGGAATCGTTGTGCTGCCGTCGAACTGATAGACGACCACAGGAGCAGACGCATCGAACAGGGCGTTCACATCAAACGGACTGTTTATCACGTCCGCCAGAGGGGCGCCCGTTTGAGCACCAGGCGTGTGACTCTGTATGAGAAGAATAGGCAAACATTATAGTAGTGAATATCTCGATTTGTGTGCTGAGATGCCAACCTTCTCTTTGATACGAGTAAGAGATTAAGCGACATTAAATCAATAAGACTAAAGAGTTTTAAAATGAAAATTCTTGATCTTTTCAATATTAGCAAGCCTTTTATGTAAGTAAATATGCGCATGTATTCTTCTTTTCTTTTGATAGCTTCCCGTCGTTCCATGAAAATCACTAAACACACTTGTTATTATGATAGATGTATATGTAGTGCTTATTTTATAAGGGTATATTCCATTTGAGAATTTTTGACTTGCCCATTTAAATAGAGTAAAAAAATCGATATTTATACAAAATAAAACCGCCGAACCGTGTTTCAAGCCGAATTGAATGCATGAAAGAATGAAAGACCAGGCTAGTGATACGGATCAGGAATATATATATATGATTGATGGAATTGGAGATGCCTGTTTCAAGTAGTCTCTCTAAACTAGATGATTATAACAATTTTAATGATTGGTCAAATTAAGTATCCGGATGTTCAGATCTCCCACAGATTATAGCTATATTTAGATGGAATAGATGGAATTTGTTACGTTACCAGCACACGAATACCCTCGCATTTGGAGGCGATTTCGAATAAAATACTGCATGTCTGGAATGCCACATGTAAACGCTCAGCGATTGCCTTCCGGCCGAGCGCTTGCAGGCTGGTCCACAGAGAAAGGGCGCTTAAGCGCCGCGAGAGGATTGGGTCTGATTCGAAGGCACTCAGTGCGCTGTTCTGCAGCGGCCGATGAAGTAACACAATGGGCAGACTGGGCACGCCCAACCAGCTGCCTAAATTGAGGGCCATAGAATGCAGGACATCATGAACATTGCCCGGCCGCTGGGCACAAACGAGTGCGGCCAATCCATGGCCGCTGGCATGTAGCCACATATTTTGCGCCTTGCAGACATCCCGCAAAAGCTGCAGATTATCCACATAGCCGCAGAGCGAGGCCCCAATGTCGGCCACAACCAGTAGCGGTGTGCGATTGGCAGCCAGATCTAGGTGCACCTGCTTCTGTAGGTGGTTCACATCCATGGTGCCGTATTTACTGTCCTCCGGTATGATTTTGATGGCGTCCAGCGATATGCCCAGTTGCCGGCACGCATATTGCAACCGCACAGGCGTCGTATTGTCTGAAATATAGAAGCACGGATGCGCCAGCGCCGGTATTCCACCTTCCAAATAGCCCGGACAGCGAGCGACAATTGCAAGGCGCACGGTTCGCAGGACGGCATCAGCGTTGTCCGCATGGAAACTGCTAGCGGCATTGCCAAAGTGAAACAATGCGCCCAGCCAGCGTGTGGCATCACCCGAGATGCTATTGGTCACACGCAGCAAGTGATGTCGATCCAGATGCGAAAGGTATGCAACAATGCTGTGCGAGATGAGAGCCAGATGTGAGACATCGTCCAAGGCAGGCAGCGGAAACTCCGAATCATCGTCGTTCTCCGCGTAGGCGACCAGTAGCTCCAGCGATTTAAGTATATCTGAGGGCACACGATGCTCCTGGCGCAACTGTGTCGACAGTACAATATCGGCGGCCGAAGTGCGTGTCTCGTGTGTCTCCTCATCCTGCAGAGAATGTTGCTCAGGTGCACTCTGGCTCTGACTGTCGCTTAACCCGCCGCTGCTCACCTTGCTTGGCGAGCCGGGAACGGCTTTAACATTCTCCAGTCGCTGGAGCACCTGAGATGAGCGCAGCTCCAGCTCCGCCAAACCGGAACGTATCTAAAATGGCCGTTAACAAGCACGGCACGCATGATTGATGATAAGTCGCATGGTAATTGCACCAATAAAAAAGAAAGAAAAAACAAAAACAAAGAAATCCATATAACATATAATAAAAACAAAAACCACAACACGTTGACGTGTCTTCGTCGTCATCAGAAGTGCCAGCAAAACTTACGCTGGATGCGGCGATTTCAGCCACTGGTAATGTTGTCGTTGTTGCTGCTGTTGTCGGTGATGATGTTTCAGTTGTTGACGCTGGCTGCTGTGCCGCGGCAGAGCTTGGCTCGTCAACAACTCCAGCCGCTGACATTTCTAATGGGTTTACCTGGCGACTTCGTTGCGGCTGCCTTTTCTTTCTCTGATATTCTAGCTGATGTGGAGTTCTACTATTGAAATATAAAAAAAATCGAGTATTTCTCATATATCGTTATTGTGGTCACACTACACACACAAATGTCTCGGGCATAATAATCGATTGCTATCGATATTATGTCATCGTTTCAAACAAGTTGGCAACAACGCTTGTAACTGCCAAAATGGCGCGTCTGTTGTAAATGCTTTAAAATTACCACAATTACTATATGTATGCTTGTTAATGCTCCTGTTGTAGTTACTCCAATTTGTTTTTTTTTTGGTTGTGGCCTTCTGACCCAAATACCACTTGCAATGGCAGCAATGACAGCCACTAATGCGTATTTGCAGTTTGGCATTACTTGGCGACATGTGTGTTTACGTTGGCACAAATACTAAATAAAATGCAACTTTTCCAAAACTCGAGCAACATATGCGGCTGGATTGTGCGAACATACATATATGTGTATGTGTATGTGTGCCTTGGCATGTTTGTATATGTACATTTATGTATGTCATGCATATATGCACATACATACATTCATATCTTCGTATGTACATCTATAATGAAACTGTTTGTGTGTGTGGGTGTTGGTGTGTATGTGATCCCATGTAGCTTTTCATTTTATTTATGCATAAACTTACTGAGAAAGTTTCGCGCATGCTGTAAAACTGGTTAGCAGCAAAAAGTTGCTTTCGTATTGAAATTTTGTGCCACCCACCCACGCCACATGTAATAACATATCGATGCTGCTTTTTCAAAGTGTAACCCACTACCCAACAGCAGCATCCCCTCGTCCACACTAGGGGCTTGCATTGCTTTCCCTTGTGGCTTCGGCGTCTGTTGTGCCGGGGATTTGCGCCGGAGCCGCCGAAACGTGCCGGTGCACATGCATCAATTTGCCTTGGCAGCCACAAGCCCCAAAAACCTAGCGAAACCTACCCCCAAAACAGTTCCCAAGCCTCCACAACTCCTCCACTCTACCACACAACCCACACACACGCCAACTATCACACATATGCACATACATACATATATAATATATCAGTTGCATTTGCCTTTAAAGCTGCAGTCCCTGAACTTGTGTTGTGCGTTATTCAGGAAGTCTCTGGCTAAGTAAATTGATTCATCATAGTATCAAATGCTAGCAATAGGCTCCACCTATTTACATACATACATGGTACACACATACATACATTGTAAATATATGTATATTTTGTAAATATTTTCACCATAAACAGCCATTTCGTTTGATTAAAACAGCCGCAACATTTAAATATATTTACTTACACACACACGCCGACGAATACATGCATAAGTATATATATTTATGTACCATAAATTATGGTCAACATTTATTGTACTCTGTTCCGAAGAGGATGTAGAAGTCTATATAGGATTTTTTGTTACAGAGGAAGTCTCGAATATATAAAAAGTTTTTGGATACACATTTTCCGACCAAGTTTTCGTTTTTTCACTTTGAAAAGTATAATTCTGTGAACAATTATTATTTTTGTTAGTTTAGAGCTCATGTCCCGAATATATTTGCCATTTCCACTTATGACTTCATTAATTGCCAATATATTTATTTATTTATGCATTGGTTTATGGCAATGAAATTTAAAATCAGAACCGTATCAAAATTTTTGTAGTCAAAACTTCTGTAAAATTCGCAACTATATAAGTGATTGAATGATTTGAAAGATGTTTTACACTGGCAACAGATTATTGCGCAGTCGAGCGATTTGAACAGCAAGTGCAATTCGTTGTTATAATTGCTGTTAGCCAAAATAATTGCAACCAACATTTGTTGGTCAAACTAACTTTGCTGGCGGGGAGAGCAGAGATTGCGGATAGCTCGGTTTCTCAAACAAACAAACAAACATTTGTATCCCCATGGAAAGGTATGCATGTACACATGTCCATATGTAAAGTATGTATATATCAATATTTATATATTATAGATCAGGATAAAGTCAATAGAGCCATGTTAATGAATCTCTCGGCTAACAAAATATGTAATTTGTGTCTTTCGAGCATAACACGTAAGAATATATATGAGATCGCATCCGTATACCATATTTATTTAATTTTCTCAAAATTAATGTGCTCTCATACAATATTATTCACAATAATTCTATTGCAACAATTCGAGTTATTTACAAAACATCATACAAAAAAGAATTTTAAAAAATTTACAAGCCTGAAAAAAAAAGATTTTTGCTTTCTTATTGTTTTTGTTGCAGCCTGCGTGGGCTGATTATATAAATTACTTGTACGCCAAACTGTACCTAATTGTGTATGTGCAACGCACGTACATACACACGCACACAAAAAGCTGAAAGTAGTGACAGAAGTGCGCACAGATGTGTGTATTTAGCTCTACCCCAATCATGCATGCCAAGGTGAAAAAAAGGCTCAAGGCCGCCAGCAACAGCACTTTAAGTTTCACACACAAAACACAAGGGACAGAGAGGGAGAGGGAGAGTTGGTGAAAGAGAGGGGGTGGGTTGTGCGTGCGAGTGTGTGTGTTGTAGAGGTGCAAAGTAGTTGCCACTTAAAAATCAACAAAAAAGAAAAAAAAGCAACAACAAAATTCAAACAAACTAACGGGGGCCATGCTTTTGTCCATTGACAGTAGCGGATCTGTATGGAATTAAACAAGAACCATCATCGCATATGGATATGAATGAAAAAGCTAAATGAGCAGGTCTGCTGCTCCTGTTGTTGCTGTCGTATGTCATGACGCTGCTTTTTGTTTTCGCTGAATTCCAGGTAAATGTCAGAGCCATTTAATTGGTAACGTTATCAGAAGACATACAAAAAAAAAAAAAAACAAAAAAAAAAGGGCGAGCAGGGGTCTGGGTTGGGTTTGGTATAGGGTGGCTAAGAGTGGGGTCTGAGCACAATGTGCATAAATCAGCAGGAAAAAATAAACCATTTGTCAGGCGAACAAGCTTATACACATAAATGCACATATACAGATAGGCATACACATTGTCAAATTGACAAAATATAAAAGGGACTGCAATTGATGGCCAAGAAATGCACAGACATACCCAATACCTATACATAAACCTAGGAAGGCATCAGTGACAGACAAATAACAACAACAGCCAACAAATAGGCAAAAAGAAAAGCGTCGCCAATGCCTAAAAATCTGAAGGCAAAGACAAAACAAAAGAATGAACGGCTATCTAAGTCATATCAAAGACTACATACCCTTGTAGACCGTATTCAAATTGCCGATATCCACATTTTATAGTGGTTGAATGACCATGATTTGTTCTCTAATTGTTAAAAGCATATTAACATGCGCATTGATTAACTTTGGTTACAAAAAAAAAACAAAAAAGTGTTTAATATAGGAACTCTGCTCTCAACAGATTCTTCCATTGGAAGCTATATGAGAAATTAGTTCAATGTCAATAGTTATTGCCCAGATGTAAGACACATAAAAACATGCATATTTGTTAAGTTTGATTTGGATACCTTGGTAACCAAAAAATACTTTCATACAAGCGTTAATCGATCGACCAATCGTTCCTATGCCAGATATGTGATGATATAGTGTACGACAATTGAATTATAATACTATTTTGTTATTTGTTATTAACACATCTCACGATGCAATCAATGCTACTCTTGAAAGAAGAGGCCTGGACCATACCACCAGCAGATGGATAATGGCACTGCTACGGTCCAGACAAGCCACGGCATCATTACATGATAGCACTGTAACAGTCCTAACCACCAAAGGCTGTCCCCAAGGGGGGGTGTTGTCTCCGCTACTCTGGAGTCTGTTAGTAGACGAACTACTAAACAGACTTGCCAACAGTGGTATTCAATGTCAAGGTTATGCCGATGACATTGTTATCATAGCGCGAGGCAAATTTGAAGAATCACTCTGTGACATAGTCCAGTCAGGGATAAGGATAACGTATGACTGGTGTAGGGAGGTTGGACTCAACCTAAACCCTACGAAAACAGTCATCGTTCCCTTTACCAGACGACATAAGTTACAGAGGATGAGACAAATATGGCTCTCAGGGACCCTACTAGAAACAAGTAGGGAGGTCAAATACCTGGGAGTCACTTTTGACAGCAGACTTAACTTTGGTACCCATGTGCAAAACACGATATTAAAGTGCTCCAGGGCGCTTTATACATGTCGTAGTATTGCCGGCAAATCATGGGGAACATCACCAAAAATATTAAGATGGCTGTACCTGATGGTAGTAAGACCCATGTTAACCTATGGGGTGGTTGCATGGGGTGACAGGGCGCGGATGATCACCGTGAAGAAACAACTACAAAAGTTGCAAAGAATGGCCTGCGTATGTATGACAGGAGCTATGCGCACCTGCCCTACAATGGCCCTTGAAGCCTTAATGGAGCTCACACCACTCCACGATATCATAAGGCTCAATCAGAAAGCTACGCTTCTCAGGATATCAGCAGAAGGAGTTGGGGGCAACCATATCCTAAGCCACAAGGATGTGACGCAACCTAGGGACGAAATGGCAGCCGAATACATATTCGACCGAAATTTCACAGTTCGTATGAGTAGTAAAAGGGAATGGACAACTCTGGATGAAGTCCATCCCATGAAACCGCACACCATAAAATGGTACACCGATGGATCACTCACGAATCAGGGCACCGGCCTTGGAGTGGTGGGTCCTTGGGTAGTTTACCATGAATCCCTGGGAACGCACACCAGCATATTTCAGGCTGAGGTGTGTGCGATAGGGAGATGTGCGGACATCAACATAGAACGTAACTATCGGAATACGGATATATCCATCCTATCCGATAGTCAAGCAGCATTGAATGCTATAATGGGGACTAAGATAACATCGAAGGTAGTCCATGAAGTTCGTTCAAAGCTAGACCTGCTCGGGACTCACAACAGGCTCACCCTACGATGGGTCCCGCGTCACAGGGACATAGCGGGAAACGAGGCGGCTGACAAGCAAGCAAGAATGGGGGCAGAAAGGCCCCTAACAGGACCAGAACCGTATTGT